ATTTTTAGGTTAATTCTTAGATCCTGCCAGCACTCGGCACTCTCCAAGCTGTTCTGTGCCATCAGGATTGCTGACAGACCACAGCTCCGTGTGTCTCCTTTTTTGGTGTTTTCATGCAAATTCTTCTGCTATTTGGAGTCCACTTCTATATCCTTCCCTTCAAAGCTCAGGTCTCCAGGATTATCTTCTGTATCTGTGTTAATTGGTTCCACTTTTCTTTGTTGAAGAGGGTCTGTGCAGTCTTTCTGCCTATTTCACCAGTTTACCAGGACTCCCTTTTTCCCTATCTTTTAAATGGAGATAATAAGGTTATTAAAAGGATTAAGTGAGTTAATATTTGTCAAGTGCTTAGCACAGAATCTGGGGCATTGAAAGCATAATATAAATGTTGAGTAAAATAAAACATAATATTTAAATAAATAGTGGGCTACATTTTGAGGGTTTTGAAAATCATCTACCCTACAATGTAGAAAATGTGTGTAGGAGGACAAGACTTTTCTTTTCAGCAAAAGACCTGTATTCAGCTGCCTACTCAGCATATTTTCTTGAATGTCTTAGAGCAGCAGTTTCAAAGTTTTTGGTTTCAGGACCCTTTTACACTACTGTAAGTATTTCTGTAGGCTTTCAACTGGTATCTTTGGCTTTCCCTTACCACTTCATCCAGTTAATTACAAAATCTTGGTGATGTCACTTCTTCCATATGTGGACAATTTCTTCTTTTTTCCCTTTTGACCATTTCTTCATTTTTATACTAGTGAGCTTGAATATAGCTGCATGATTCTTACCCCTCCTTTGGTAAAAGCAGTTCTTAAAGTGCTTCTATGTTTATTAGTATGAACTCTGTTATACCTGCCTGAAGTATTTGAAGCTCTCTTTAGAAAATAGCTCATCAGTTGTACATCTGTTAAGTAGGTGTCACAGTATTTTCATTTTACCTTGGGGAAATTCAGAGACCACATATCAAAATTGTAACAGAAGCATTATTCTACTTATCTTCTCTGAATATAGACTGGTTGACTGTATAATATCCATCATAAGAATAAATTTTAAATGAATTTTAGAATTCTTTCTTCCAGATATACTTCCACCAAAATGCTAGAAGTCATTAAACATATCAGTAGTTTAATCAGTATCATGAATTTGTTGAGAGTGAGTGAGAAAGAGAGGAATGCATAATTGAATTGCCTCTACATTAGATCTAATGAATTCATCTAGCATGTTTAAGTACCTGGTATAACAAGGCTTCTCAGCTCTTCTGGAAATTCTTTGTAAATCTTTTTGTAGCCAGAAGAGGGCAGAAAGTTATTTCCTAAGTAGGAACAGAGATAAAACATAAAAAGTTAAAAAATATTTGATGTACTCTATAATTTCTTGTTTTGTCTGAGAGCTTGTTTTTTTCCCCCCTTATTACTCATGTCCTGAAATATATCACAAATATTCCCATTTTTAATGAAATAGTCTCAAAGTAAGTTAGCATTAAGTTACAGTTCTAACAAATACAATCCCTGATTCTTTTCATTATGTAAGAAGTGAATAATACCTTATGATTAATCTTTTAGTTAAGAAGTGTCTTTTATATGGCTTTAAAATGATTAAAATTTCTTTAAGATAAATTATAGGACCCCTAAGACTATGGCCTTGGGATACACTTCAGGCTTGGGATAAAACTCACTCCCAAGGGCTGGCTCTCAGCCCAATAGTAAATAAGAGTTTCATGCAAAACACTCAACCTAGGGCTATGTACCCACCTACTCTAGGGAGATACATCCCTTGGAGCAGTCAGCCATGGGGCACTAGAGGGGCAACATTCACAAGAGGAAAAGCTGGACAGATAGGAGTGCATAACTAGGAAGGGCATAGGGAGGAGAGAGGGGTTACTGGGAAGGGAGAGGAAGAAAGTGGGTTAGGATTGGGGATGGTAATTGGGGAGTGAAACCAAATGTACATGAAATGTAGAATGTAACAAATTCTGCTCTGTAAATTTGTACCTAAAGCACAATTATATATATATAACATAATTATATATATATGGGAAGCATTATAATTTACTAGGGCATATAACATTTGAAAGGGCAGGTAATAAACATTAAAAAATGTAGAAATTTTTAATCATTGTAAAATTTATGTATTTAAGAATATTTGGTGACTATCTACTGTGTGCTCACCCCTGTCTTAGGACAATGGGAAAGATGAGGGGTGAGAACAATACATTATCTTCTTAGAATCTCATTTTTAGTTTGTAATGTAATTGGAGAGATGACTCAGAGAGCAATAAATGACCATGTCTAATCAAGTACCAAGGAGTGTGATAGAAACTCCTTTATAATTCAGAAGAAGAAGAATCCTTTGGTATACAGAAAGTATTAGTTTTAAGATGGCTTCATGTAGAGGTAGAATTTGAGCTGAGATTTACCTTTAATATTTGGGTAAGCGGAGAAGTAAAAGAAAGAAATTGACAGGCTCAGGAAGTAACTTAGTTCAGGAGTAGAGAGATATAGGGGACTATAAACTTGAGTGGAGGAGAGGGTTTCTATTAGAAAATACTAAGAAAGTACATGGAAATTGTATTTTGGCATGCCTTGAAACCTAGGCAGGAATATGAGTTCAGTACTGTAGACAAATAGTAACTATTGTAGATTTTTGAGTAGAGGGTGAATTATCTAATAGTGGTCTATAGAATTTGTAGAAGAGAGAATAAATTTGAAGCTGGAAAGACAAAAGAGTACTTCTTGTAGTCAAGGTGAGATGAGAGTTGACAAGAGCCAGAACTAAGGAAGTGACAGTAGGAATTTAAAGGAATAAAGCTGAAAAATATTTCAGGGGAGAAATGAATTAAGTCTTTGTGAGAGATTGGGACTGGGTAATAGATGATTAGAGACAAACACAAATGCCATACTTCTAATAGAGAACGAGAATCATGGGTATATCAACAATAGAAACAGGGAAATTGAGAGCCCATGAACACTAGTCTACCTTCACTGGCTTCTAAAGTGACTTTAAGCCCTGAACCAAGTTTTCCCTCTGTTGTTGTTGTTGTTATGTGCCATCGAGTCGTACCTGACTCATAGCGACCCCTCCTTGGGTTTCTGAGGCAGTATCACTACGGAAGCAGATTGCCCCATCTTCCTTCTGAGGAGTGGCTGGTGAGTTTGAACTGCCAGCCTTCTGGTCCCTTTAAGAGGCTGTAATTTGGTTTATAATATATTTCTTTAATCATGGACCAGTAAGCATTGAAAAAAAAAAAATACAAAGGCTTATGGAATTCTCAGATCTGCTTAAAAGAACTGCTTCTATTCTGAGGTCTTTTAATGCCATGAAATTACATGAACATTTTGGTTGTGAGCATCTTTATGGAAATTGGGTCCATAGATTTCTTTAGAATCATGGAGGCATATGTAACATTAAAAAAAGAAAAGTTAGGAACTTTGGTGATAGGAATAAATTAGAGGAATGAGAAAGTGTCTCAAACTTGCCATCTACAGTTTATTCGTTTGTTAAGAATAAAGAAACAATATAAATGCTACAGATGTTTTAAATTAGTATGAATAACTGTAAATATGAATTATTATAATAATTATGATAAAACTGGTATAACCTACACAGACAGCTTGTTCTGCTGGAATTAGCCCATTGAGTGTAAATAATACCTCTAGATTCATCCTTGTCCTAACCCTCATCCTCGGGCCCATTCAGGATTCTAGAGCTTCTCTCAGACATATGGACATAATTGCTTTCATAATTGAATGCTACTCTTTTATCACACAACTATAAAAAGATTTTTGCTATTCCTCAGAGGTATGTCCTATTGTTAAATTACCAAGTAATATGTATAAATTGTTGGGGCATAAGTGGAAGAGATCATCTTCAATAATCTCAGCAGTATTATTCAACATAAGTATGCTTGAACCTAGTTGTGAAATGTCAACACATTTAAATCCAAGCACTAGGGATCTGTAAGCAGAAAAGTCCTTGACTCCATGCAGTAATATATCATTGCAGAGAATGTTCTGGTCTTTTGTGAAGGGAATTTGGCAGTCCTCTCGTTTTAGTTTCATGTGAGTTTTCTGAAGCTTGGGTTTTTGGATAATGCCTTTGTTTTTATTTTCCTGTAAAACATTAGAAATTCTGTGTGGGAAAAATTGGACTTGTTGAGAGTAATAATATTTGACTGTAATTCAGTTAGATTATTACATTATCACTTAAACAGTAAAACTGTCTGTTGGTTACATGAATTTGTTTGGTACTTGATCAGAAATGTTGAGAGAGAGTACATTGCAAAAACATAGCCAAGTTGGCTTTGATTCATGTATAACAGATTGCCTGTTGCAAGTATAAATAACCATGTTTTTTAATTGAATCATTTTAGTGTTTTTCTTTATATAATTGAAAAATAGAAAATAAAAGTTCTGTGTATGTTATTAAGAAGCATTATTTTTCTTACTGTTAGGTTTATTACAACAGAAAATATTTTTTACTTTATTTTTTCTTAATACTTTTTGTTTTTTTTCCAGTACTCTTCAATAATTTTGCAAAAATATAGTTAGAAGAGTATCTCTACTAGCTCTCTTCATTATTAGACAAATTTCCATATAATCAAACCCTCCAAAAGGAATAATTTGGTTTCTGATATTCAGAATGCCAGCTAAATTGGAATGTTAACAGAATTGCTTTCTACAGAAAAATGATTGTATTTTTCACTCTGGGGGATCTTTATACAGTATACATATTTTAAATACATTTATAGTAACTGTCTAGAGGTTAAGACTAATTCAGTTCTTTTTAGTATAGCCTGTTCGGTAATAAAAATAAGACTATATTTTAAACAAGAAAATGTTCATGTGCCATAATATTTATAGTAAATTATATAACAGTTTTAGATGATGTCGTATGTTACACTACATAAACTCTTTTCTTAAGCCAGACTCTTTGTATATATTATCTTTCAGTGATTGTATACAGTGGTATAGTGTTTCACTTGATACGATTTTAATCACTGTTAGGTTGAACTTGAAAGAAAGTTGGAATCTGCAACTAAGTCCAAACTGCATTACAAGCAGCAATGGGGACGAGCTTTGAAAGAACTTGCCAGACTTAAACAGGTATGTAGTTTATAGCTAATGATGGATTATTCTTTTTATGTCTCTGTTATGTGCAGATGTCTGCATTTGAATTTCCATTGCCGTTTTTGAGATTAGAGGGTTTTTTTTTTTCATATGTTATATGTAAAATCTTCTTTTTCTTACTTAAACAATTTTAAGGTGCTTTTTAATTTGTCGACTACCTTCTTTCCCAGAAGAAATTGAGAGTAATATCTTCTCTCATTTTTCCTCCTTAAGTATTTATTGTGTTTTATTTTTCCTATTGAAAGTGCTTTTATTTTAGGGGAAAGTTAAGGAGAACTGTTAAAAATAAAATTATCATGTTCTCAAATTTAAAACATATGTTAAATGTTTTCCTAGGAAGGAAATATTTCTTCAATAAAGAAACAGGATCACAGAGAATTTGCATAATTTTAAAAGATTTTTGAAAACTTTGATGGTAGTTTCCTCAATTCTCATTGCATTCCTTTTTTTCCCCCCACTTCTGGCTACTAGGAAGAAAAATGCTATGATTTTCATGAGAAATTAATCTTAATTGTAGGGATAATTTCTTCAAATGATAATGAGAAAATAAAATATCAGCAAGGTTTTTATCTTGAGCCTAAAGTACTTAATCTAAAACTTTTAAGGATTAGTCATGGTTGGTTTAATCCAAATTTTGCTTTTTTATTATTTTTTTTAATGTATACATTTTATTCTGAATAAAATTTGGCACATAGAGTCTTACAGGTTTATATTTTTCCAAATATATCTTCATAGCCATCAAATTACTATAATCATGTTTGTGGTATTATTACTGATAGCTAACCACTTTCATGAAGAAGTACATACTAGATTGCATGAGTGTAAAAAATACGAGTTTGCTGTACCATAGTTTATAGATTAGTTAAAATTGTAACCATTACACATAAAGATAGGTAGTTACATATTGCTAAATATAAAACATACTATACAAAGTGAATATATAAATGTTCACAAGACTAAGGATAGATGAGTAGATAACTAAGTATAATATAGAGGGCCTCTTATATTCAGGGTATTTCCCTAGATATACAGATAAAGGTAACACACATACTTTTCGCTCTGGGAGCTTAAAATTCAGTAGTAGGTAGAAAACAGCTATGAATATAATATTTACTACATAACTAAGAGGCCTGTAAGAAATCATACAAAATGCTCAGAAGGAGAAAGTACATCTATTTGATAAGACTTAACGAAAGGTGTTTTAGAAGAAGTATTTGAGATGGACTTCTGGAGATGAATAGGCAGGATTTTAATAGAGGAATTGGTTGTGATATAATAGAGTATTGCTGGAAATATAACCTAATGAATAAAATATATCACAAAGAAGGATGAGGTGGGAAAGCATAGGCTGTGTTTATAGAAAACCACCACTCATCTGTCAGTTTGTCATTCTGTGGTGGCTTGTGTGTTCCTGTGCGTCTGGAGGCTATACCACCAATATTGCAAATACCAACAGGGTCATCCATTGATGGACAAGTTTCAGTGGAGCTTTCAGACTAAGACTCAGAAGAAGGAAGGGACTATCTAATTCTCAAAGAATTGACCAGTGAAAATGTTATGAACAGCAGTGAAACAATTGTCTGATATATTACTGGAAAACTTTATGAATAGTTCTGAAACGTTGTCTGATACAGTGCCAGAAGATGAGCTCCTCAGGTCGAAAGGCACTCAAAATGCAACTGGGAAAGAGCTGCCTCCTCAGAGTATACCCTAGTGATGTAGATGGAGTAAAACTTTCAGGACCTCCATTTACTGATGTGTCACAACTAAAAATAGGAAGAAACAGCTGCAAATATCCATTAATCATCAGGACATGGAAAGTACGAAGTAATGAATCTGGGAAAATTAGAAGTTGACCAAAAAAATATGGAACGCATAAAGATCGATATCTTAGGCATTACTGAGCTGAAATGGACTGGTTTTGGCCATTTTGAATCAGACAACCATATGATCTACTATGCCAAGAATGACAAACTGAAGAGGAATGACGTCACATTCATCATCACAAAGAATGTTTCAAGAGCTGTCTTGAAATACACTGCTGTCAGTGATAGGATAATATCCATATGCCTACAAAGGAGCTTTGGTAGTATAGTGCCTAAGGCACTTGACTGCTAATCAAAAGGCTGGCAGTCCAAACCTACCAGCCACTGAAATACAGTGCTGTCAGTGATAGGATAATATCCATATGCCTATAAAGGAGCTCTGGTAGTGTAGTGCCTAAGGCACTTGACTGTTAACCAAAAGGTTGGCAGTTCAAACCCATCAACCACTCCTTAAAAGGAGGGTTGGGCAATCTACTTCTGAAGTGATACCACCTTGGAAACCCAGGGAGGGGTCCCTATGAGTTGGGTCCAACTTGACAGCATATAACAACAACAACAACAAAGAAGACCAGTTAATACTACTACTATTCAAATTTATGTACCAGTGACCAAAGCTAAAAACAAGGAAATTGAAGATTTTTAACAACTACTGCAGTCTGAAATTACCAAACTTGTAATCAAGATGTGCTGATTATCACTGGTGATTGGAATGCAAAAGTTGGAAACAAAGAAGAGTCACTGGTAGTTGGAAAATACGGCCTTGGTAATAGAAATAATGCTGGTTGGTTGCATGATAGAATTTTGCAAGACCAATGACATTCATTGCAAACACCTTTTTTCAACAACATAAAAGGTGACTAAACGTGGACTTCGCCAGATGGAGTACACAGCAATCAGATTGACTACATCTGTGGCAAGAGTTGATGGAGAAGATCAATATCTTCAGCCAGAACAAGGCCAGGAGCTGACTGTGGAACAGACCATAAGTTGCTCATGTGCAAGTTCAAATTGAAGTTGAAGACAATTAAAACAAGTCCATGAGAGCCAAAATCTGACCTTGATTATATCCCTCCTGAATTTAGAGACCATCTAAAGAATAGATTTGATGCACTGAACACCAGTGACTGCAAACCAGGGATGACATCAAGTACATCTTCCATGAAGAAAGCAAAAAGTCATTAAAAAGACAGGAAAGGAAAAAAACGACCAAAATGGATGTCAGAAGAGACTGAAACTTGCCCATGAATGGAGAATAGCTAAAGCAAATGGAAGAAATGACAAGATAAAAGAGCTGAACAGAAGATTTGAAAGAGCAGCTTGAGAAGACAAAGTCAGTTATTGTAATGAAATGTGCAAAGACCTGGAGTTAGAAAACCAAAATCTCACTACACTAAAAATAATTTAAACATTGTAAGTCTGAGAATAAGAAGATGTTAGAAATAGCTGTAGGGAAGTGAAGTGTAGGATACAGTTTGAGTATTAATAGTTTTGTTTTTAGATGGTTCTTGCAACAGATGTTCTGTAGAAAACTATACTAAAGGAAAAACGTATGTAAGAGTTAGATATGCTGGTGTGTGTCAGTAGGTAAATTTCCTAATGTGTGTACTCATAAACAAACATGAGCGCATTGAGTCTGGAGAAACATTAGTACTTAGTTCATATGTTCATTCATTCAGAAAGTACTCATTGTGAGCCTCTTATGCACCATGCACAGTATTAAAATAGCAGTTTTCTCCTATGTGGAACTTAAAGTTCAATGAGGAGAACTGATATTTAGCAAGAATATAACAGAGTGGTGGGAAAAGCAAGCGAGGTCACTGAAAATGATAGAAGTATTAGAAAAACAAGAGGACAATGGGGTATTGGGTGGACGAATGGCTATTTGTTAATCAAAGCTAAGGGAAAAACGCTTAGAGAAAAAGTTTCAAATGGTGCTATTAGATTTGGAATCATTTTAAATTTTAAAATAGAGCATAAATGGGGATGAAGTAGAAGATAGGCCTGACCTTGAAGAAATTGAGTAGTGAAGGATGAAAGAATAATGAAATGGTAATTAGTTACAAGACATTACCAAAGTCACTTGAAAAGATGGAAAAGTATTTTAGCTGTTGATTAAGGCATTTTCTCTGGAAAAAAAATAGTAATAATTGTAATGAATTATTGAAATGTAATTATGTTATAATTTGGCATGTTTCTTATTAATAAATCTTCATGCAAGAATTTAAATTTATTTTTCAGTCATGTTCATATGTGTATATTTACTGATTACATTGTTTAAGTTTTTTCACCTTTTGAAGTATTTAAAATATAGGAAAGTAAATAAATAATGTTTTGGATGAAACTCCCCAAATTCATGACTTTTTGTTTGTTTTGCACTGGGATATTGAGGTGGTTAATTAGAATTAAGTTCACTGTGAAAGGCTCGCAATCAAGTGCCCGCCTCTTAACATTTGTATCCTCATACACTTTTTCTATCTTCTAGTTCTTTCCATTTAATTAATTATTTTCCATCTACCCATTGGTACTTTGCATTTTTCTACCTTCTTGTCCAGAAAACATTGGCAAAGTAATTTTAGCTATTTGTTCTGGATAATAAAAGAGGATACTACAAAAGTTCAGGTGCCTTCTTTCTCTTGAGTTACTATAGTATAGTAAAAGAAAACAATGTGAAATCACTGGTTCAACTCTGAGAATTCTACTCTATGAAAGACAGTAAAAGTAATAGTCTCATCCTTGTAGTACAGTGATCTTCATTTCTTTCTTATTATAGCCCAATTTTATTCCTTATCCCACCAACTTTCTGCTTTAGAAATTACACTAGAAACAAATTACAAGGTCGCTAGGCATCACTGATGTTCTGCAGACTGCATTTGAGATACACCATTTTAAGAAAAAATGTAATGGGTCTGAGAGTACGATAATGAATTGTGCTCAGCCACTAACTGTTTTTGGAAAATTAAAATTATAACTTCATCAAATTGGCACATTTCGTATGTGTGAAAAATACTTCAAAAATTTTCCCCAATACTTTTTATTCAAAACACATTTATTGTGTTTGAATATTAAATTGGAATCCTCTACTGCTTTTGTTCAGAGGATTGTTTGTGCAATTTCTTGTTTAAATTGGATTAGTACCATGTTAATTTTACA